AGCATGCAGCTCTCGCCTGAGAGACTACTTGGCTACAGATCAAAGATCAGGCTTGAGGTGTAAGGGAGCATAGCAGCAAGGTAACCAGGAGGGTGTGTTGAGACCTAGCTTCTCTCCACGGGACAGCTTTTGATGTCAGCTGTGTATGTTACTGGAGTCACCCCTGAGGAGGCACAGCACCCTAACTGGTAGAACCAAAACATGGGTGAGAAATTTGGTAGGGAAGGTGGAGCGGGAAAGATCACAGTGCCAGCTTTGTTGGTTAAGCAAAATATTCAGGGCCAAGTATGTCTCTCTGCATGTCCCAAGGTGAAGGCAGCTCAGCCCTGCTACTTCCCTGCAAAATCCTTTGCCCGTAGGCTCTCCAGGGATTGTAATCTCCAAGGTGAACTAGGCATAATCCCACCACACAGACTGCATCTGAATCCAAGCAAGACCAGGGCTGTCGCTGTCAGGGCTGTTGCTGTCCTTGTTTGACTCCGAAATTGATCTTAATTGAACCACCTCAGCGGTGCAATGCTCATGCATTAAACATGGGTGGCTGGTGTCATGGTGCAGCTTGCTGGGAATACGGGCCCCGCTTTTTAAGAACTGTTAACACAGCATGTAAGTGTTCAGCAGAGTTTGAAATGCCACATTGTGTCCGTCTGCATCGTTGCCCCCTCCCGGGCCCTGTGCATCACAGAAATAGACCTAGGGAAAATCCGCGGGCTTGTTCAAGCAGTGTCCCGGGCCAGGGCAGGATTTATCCCTACACCATGCTGCCTTTGTGTTTTGTCCTGTCCACTTTCAACAGCTCTTCCTCTTCATTGCAGGCCTCAAGACATTATTGTGTTTATCATTGGAGGAGCAACGTATGAAGAGGCGTTAACTGTCTACAACCTTAACCGCACCACCCCTGGCGTCCGGATCGTATTAGGTGGGACCACCATCCACAACACAAAAAGGTAACGCCGATCGGAGCCCTAGCCCATGTGTTTGACCCTGGTTGATCTGACTCAAAGTCTGCGACACGGGAGAATTGTAGCCTGCTAGGGCAGCCTGGAACAGTCAGATCGCTGGTTTAACCACCTGGCCTGCTTGTATAGCCCTAAATGCGTTGTTGGCGCAGTGAAAGATTGTCCAGTGACGTTTCAAGGAACTTGAAAGGCAAAGCGACAAGTTCTGGGTTGAGAGACGCATACGTGCATAGTTTCACCTGCTTTGAATTTGCAGCTCCCTGAGCATGAGCAGGAAGGCAAGGGAGTGCCTGGAAATCCAGATTCTGCTCCGTCACTTTGGCACAACTCAGCAGAGAGTCTGTGGAGGGCAGCGGAGTTCCACTGGTGTATGTGAGACTGGAAGCGGGCTCAGGGCGCGCAGTAATGGCAGTCTGTGCTGCCTGCAGATCCGCACAGTACTCCCTGCTCTTCATGTTGCTCCCTTAAAAAAGGCGCTTTCTTGCCCAACCCAATCCCCTTCCATAGGAGAGGGGCCATTTGTATAGCTCTGATCCTGCAAGATTCTCGGGTGTGCTGCTCACCCTTCATTCCCTCCGAGTTCCCGTTGCTGCCTGTGCCGCGTGGGAAACATTGCAAGCAGCTAATGTAACAGAGCCGGGGGGGGTTTGTGATGGGCCGCGCCCTGGCATTGCATTTCCACAGCAATGGACGGGGTGATTGGATCCTAAAATTCTCGGTTATTTCCTGCAAATACCATCCTGCTTTTCCCAGAAAACAACTGAGTCTTGCGTGATGTGATCAGCTGATGCAAGTTACGAGCCCAGTTTCCAAAGAGGGGCACCATTTCACAGGCCTACCTGCGGCTCAGGTTCAAGTCAGGACTCCGTTACCCTAATCAGGTGGAAATTAGACCATACATCTGTACTTCCTTCTGTTAAGGGGTGGGGGACCAGGCAGGCATATCTCCTATTCTGCTGTGCCAGCTGCTAGCTAAGCAGAGAACCAAGAATTCTTTCAATTCTTCCCCCACACCCGGCCAAATACCCATTGTATCCCCTTCCACCATGACATCTCCTTGGCCTTGGGAGCAGGAGGGGAGAGTTAGAAGGAATGTGACAGGTGACCCAAATCCATCCCATGTGCTGTATCAGAAAATGTGGTGAAATCTAAGAGCTGGGGCAGACCCTGGAGTTCTCCAACAGCTGCTCTGAACTTAACCTTAAAGGGACCCCTCGGCCCACGTGGGATGGATTGAGGGGAAGCGTCAAGCAAACTGTATTGTGGAAGTGACATGACACAAACATTCAGGCTGCAATAGTCGCAGCTGACTAAGGGCTTGCGGCAAATGGGACTTGTTAAGAATGAATGGGAGCAGAGCATCTAAATCCCCTAGCCAACTTTGAAAACCTCTGCCTCCCACTCTGCATTTCCTGTGCTTTTAACATTCTCCTGGACACTAACTGGCCAGTGTTGCACACGCGCACACAACACATAGAGATACACCAAGGGCCTATGTCTGCTCTTTTAACAGTTAACCATGGGAACAGTTTCCTAAGGATCAGGTGAATTCTTTATCACTGACAACAATGAAATCAAAATTGGGTGTTTTTTCTAAAAGCTCTGCCCTGGGAATTATTTGGGGGAAGTTCTAGGACTTATGTTAACACAAGGTCAGACTAGATAGTCACAAAAGCCTTGGGGGTCTATGAATCTAGTGAGTTTTCCTGTCAATTAATAAAGCCCTCGAATTGCACACCCATCCAGATGCAACTGGCTCTTAAGAACTGGGTTACAAAGGCAAGTCTGTCTTAGCCCACATTTTGACCAAATCCTACCCAAACTAGCCAGCTTTCCATTCCCTCTCCTCCCCCGCCAACTGCTCTCGATTTTAGCCCGTGAGCTAAACAGCTTTCCTAGTAACCACAAGATAAAGGACTTCGTAGGCGTGCCCAGTGCTCCTTGGCTGATGGGAAAAGGGAGCGGCTAAAATGGCATCTTGGAAAGATGCACCCAGCCTGTAAAAACGCGACTATGGTGAAAACATCTGGCTTCATTGTTCTTCAGTCCTTTTGAAAACCAGTTACTCGTATTTCCCAGCATGCAGCCGCACGCATGTTCCCTGCCAAGTGCAAGAGCTTGTGTAAGTCTCGAAAACAACGCACCTGTGCTTGTTTTAGATCCATTTCCAAGCAGAATGACAACTTCCTGCAGGATTGAAAACCGGCTCACAGCCCATTCACCTGCTGGCGGTTCGGCCCTAAGTCTTGGAGATGCAAAGTAAACCCCAGACCCTGTAGATCTTCTGTCTAGAAAAGGCGCCTGTATCCTGTACCATGTTCACAGCAGTGGCCTGTTTTATATTCCAGCGAGCACCGTTCTCCCCCTTCTATAACATAGTCCGTCAGGTCATTTCCAAGCACTTTATATCCAGCGAGGCTGAGATTTCTCTCCCCTCACTTCCACAAGAGCTTAAAGAGGTTAGGTGCCTAATTCCCATCGGAAAATTCCAGGCTAATTCATCCCACCCCTCCTTGCAACCTTAGCTTTGGAAAGCATTGAAATATCTGCTTCTGTTCACCTCTGTGCCAAGCCCTTCGTCCCATTCTCAACTCTAAACATGTGAGGAATTGCCATTGGCTTCGTAGGACTTAGCGTTTATTTCGCGTGCTGCTGAACAAGGAACCTTTCGGGAATTGGCAGCATGGGAGGGCTCTCTGAAGTGAGCAACGTGTTTCTCATCTATGAAGCCAGGATCAGAGGCACAAAGGAGCATGTGTTCTCCTGGGGCAAGGTGTGGGGCCCTGCTCCCCGCTCCTGAAAGGGGCGGGGCAAAAGGGGCGGGGTTGGGGGCTGCCAGCCCTCCGCACCGCCCAGAGCGCATCATATGGAGTTCTGCCGGGGATTTAAAGGGCCCGGGTTCCAGCTGCTGTGAGTGGCCGGGAGTCCCTGGGCAGTTTCCCCTTTGCTCCTCGCACCCCTGTCGGCGGGCCTGATCGCCTGCATCTAAGGTGGTGTTCATGCTGCAGCCTAGGCTAGCTAGCCAGAGTGCAGCCGCATTCAAGAGCCTAGGTGTGTCCTTGGGTAGCTGGCCACGCTGCTCCCAGGGCTGTTGTGGCCACACCGCGATTTTTACTACCCTCCTGCCCAAGCTGGAATTATGCCCCTGTCTGCCGTGTACACGTGCCCCAGGCTGTATTGTAAGGCCCCCCGGTAGCACTAGGATGAGACACAGTTGCTAGCCCAGAATCTGAGGCCCAGCGGGGCTGCCCTGCCAAGTGCCGTCACTGCTGGTTCTATAGACTCCTTCCAGAGGGCATGGGGAGGAAGGCCGGGGAGGGCAGATGCAGTTACTAGAGAAGACTTGCAGGGAGGGGGACTGCGGGGGGGGACAGTATCTGTTTCAGAGACATGAAACTTTACCCTCTCCAGCTAGCGAGTTAGCCCTGACACATCCCTCATTGTGCATCTTCCAAAGGCAGAGCTGGCGCACTTGGCCATGTGCTGCCGACAGCTGAATCCGTCCTGTCTAATGACCCTGAAACCGAAGCCGTGGGAGGTGGGGAGGAGGTTGGAGGGCCAAGAGGTTGGTCTTGGAGAACCTCCGTAACCTGGCCGATTGCACAGACACTTGTCTGTTGAAGGGTCTTGTCACTGTCGTACCTGTGCACCTCCTCAGCTTTCATCTCTTTATCCTACTGGCCCTAGGAGGCAGGGCTGTGCTCTTATCCTGGGGACACTGAGGCATGGATGGATTAAGAGGCTTGCCTGAGGTCATCCAGGAAGTGTGTGGCAGAGCAGGGAATTGACAGGCATTTCCCCACACCAGGCTAGCACCCTGCTGGCCCATCCATCCTGTCATGCCTACGCTGGCAGTTGATGGATCCAAAATATGACCCTAGGCCTTGCCCCTCAGGATGACTGAGGTTTACCCCCCTCCCCCCCCCAACACTCCATGTTGCCCTTTAGTGCAATGGGTTCTCTTTTGGACCCGTTGCTCCTGAGAACCTTTTGAAGGGCAGATTCTTCACTCTTGTTCCGCTGTCACTTCGAACGTTGTAAATCATTAGTTGTTGTAGGTCTCGTCCCCACTTGCGCTTGTATCCTGCATCCGGCAGCTTGCGATCGCTGCTTCCGACACCGTCCTGAAAAGTGTGTGCTACGTTTGCAGCAGCACCGCGCTGTTGCTGACCCTGGCTGTCAGCGAGAGGGAACTTGGCTGGTCCAGAGCTCCTGGTACTGTTGCACAGTTCGGGGGGTCCTGGGATTAAGCACCTTCAATTTGAGCCACGTGTCCTTCTGGGGCAAACTGCTGCCACGTTCCCAGGGCCAAGCTACCTGCTTCGAGGCTGACCAGGCTTTTTGTTGGCTGGCAAAATGAGGCTTGTCACGAACCTCGAGGGCTCGCAGCCTTTGCTCCGTAACGGAATCCGCCGCAGTGGCAGAACGTAACCGATAGGAGCGATCTCCCCACCGGTGTTGCTTTCACCCGGTGTTGCAGGCTGAGACCTGCCTTGAAAGAGGATCTATGTAACTGATTCCCCCGGGTGTGCAGTCCAGCGTGCAGTACCGCCCTCGGATACGGTGCTTACCGGAACGGCTCTGCAAAGGAGCTGTCGGACCATTAACGCGCTCCACTGAGCCGCTTTGTGTGTCGTAGCCGCCTCCCTAAAGCAGAGCTCTCGAGCCGCGTTTTCCTGTTTCTTTGATGGCAGGCTTAAAATGTCACTAGCTCACCTCTGCCAGAGGTTTACTCCAGAGGCTCTTTACCTCTAGAGTCTCCCTTCTAGCCATTTGGGAAGGCCAAGGTGGCTGTGACCCCAGCGCACCAGCGGCCATAACCCCAGGTTGAGAGCCACTGACTGACATGGTTTTGAAAATCTAATCCGTCACTTTTTGTGCTTGCTGCCTGAATCTGCATCTGGGGGTCGTGTGGGGGAGAGGAAGAGGGGAGGTTAGGGGTGCGTGTGTGTCTGTCCGTCAAACACGTAGGCAGGGTCCCTGGATGT